TCACGCATCATTTGTTCTCACCTTTAGACAAGCTGTAGGTCTGGACTATGACGTCATTATCAATTTTAGATGCATACAGTCGCTGGTTATCCCCAGAATTCCCCCATAATACCCACAGTCCCTGCTCGTCGACAGCCAGGTCCACTCCAGTGTATCCTCCCCATTGGTAATTGGGTCCCCTTGGTGAGTATCCGCTGAGAGTGATCTGGGCCACGAGGCTATTAGTGAGCAAGTTGTACTTGTCGATATAATTGGTATTGGCTCTGTGTTTGAGGGATAGAAAGCATATCAGTATGATTTACTTGGATTGGTTTACAGTCAAACCGAGTGAAGCGTACCCCTCAAGATTATATTAATGAATTGATTATTAGAATATTGAACCCACTAGTCGTTTCAAGAATGCAATAATGAATTGATTATTGGAAAATTGAACCTACTAGTCGTTCCAAGAATACGACTAATGGGTTTAATGTTAAAAAAAAAATCAATTTAACATGACTAGCGAGTACAATATTCAAATAACCAATTCATTATTGCATTTTTGAAACGATTAGCGGGTTCAATATTCAAATAATCAATTCATTAATGTAATCTGGGGGTGTAGGCTTCACTTGGTTTTACTGTAAATCATCCGTTCATCCTAAGAGATTAAAAAAACAATAACAATTTGGAATTCATCAATCGAGAACCGTGGTTATTTTCTTTCTAAACTGGGTTTGTGAACACGAACCANGATGCATACAGTCGCTGGTTATCCCCAGAATTCCCCCATAATACCCACAATCCCTGCTCGTCGACAGCCAGGTCCACTCCACTGTACCCTCCCCATTGGTAATTGGGTCCCCTTGGTGTGTATCCGCTGAGAGTGATCCGGGCCACGAGGCTATTTGTGAGCAAATTATACTTGTCGATATAATTGGTACCGGCCCTGTGTTTGAGGGATAAGACACAGCAAGGCCATCAGTATGATGTCAACTTAGATTAGTTTAAATCATCCGCTTAGAATTAAAATGCAATTACAGGATCGTTCATCCTAAGAGACGAAGGAAAAAAGAATAAATTGGAATTCATAAATCAAGAACCGTGGCGATTTCCTTTCTAAACTGGGTTTGTGAACACGAACCAGCGCTTGATAGGAACTATGTAATATAATGAAGCAACTTAAGGCGGGGATACACATGAATTTAAGTGAAATTTTAGGAAGTTTAAAGAGGGATTAAAAGGATAAAAAGGGGTTTGGAACACCACCAGACAGTTGATTGCCCCAAAAGGGCACCCCGGGTTGGTGGGCAACTGTTTGGTGTACGTCTACCAATTTCTAACTTCAAATTCTAATTCTAAAACAACATCAAATCTTCAAAATTTCCTATTTCCATAAATTTTACTAATCCTTTGAGAAAAACTATTCATCCCCAAATATACCCAAAAATCACCAAAAAATTTACAAAACAGCCCAAAACGTAGCTATGTGAAATGAGCAGAGAGATTTTTCACAGCTTGAAACGTGAACGAGATATTTGCATTCAAACCATAATACCCAGCAAAAATATGGCCTTCATTTTAACCCCCGCCTTAAGCCTCCTCTCAAATGCCATTGACTGAATTAACTTTTAATATATCATTGCGTTGTTATCATAACGAACTGAACGTTCCAAAACCGCTCAAACAGCAAAATTTCGAACTTTGAAGCTTTGAAAATTTCAGCAATGCCGAGATTTTCTAGCTAAAGTTTGCAGAAATTTTTAGAAGATTACGAGCTTATGAATTTACTGTAACGCTTTTCTTTTCTGTAGTGCAAGCAAGTACTAGAAATACGTTAAAATGTTAAGTATACATTAACAACAATTAGATAAACCTGTTTGTAGGCGGGGCTTCCAAGTTAGTTTCAGATAATATAGGTCGATTGCGTCCCATTTTCACTTAGACTGCTTGCGAGTTGTTTCTCTCTTATAAATTGCAAACTGAGCGCGGAAGGAAGGTGCGATGGACTGGTGTACACATTTTTCGCACGTTCAGTGATTTTGGGAGTAAACAACTCCAAAAGAGCAAAAATTTGCAGAGATTTGCATTACTTATGACTCCTTCCAAATTAGCAGAACTGTTATAAAGTGAAATTTTAGTAATTGTAACCTTTATCTGTCCATCTAAAAAGATATGCCTTTAGAGCCTTTACCTTTACCTTTAATCCCGTACCTGTTGTAATAAAGATATGATCCATACACCACCGCGCCTGTCCCGTCCCGATAATACGGAAGCGTGT